AATTTAGGCCGGGCACAGTGGCTCACGCCTGTAATCCCAGCACTTTGGGAGTCTGAGGTGGGTGGATCACCTGAGGTCAGAAGTTTGAGACAAGCTTGGTCAATGTGGCACTGCAGCCTGGGAGACAGAGCAAGACTGTCTCAAGAAACAAATAAACAGAAACAACAATAAGTAATAATAATAATATATTTAAAGAGAAAAAATGTACAATCATTTTAGTAAATGCAGAAAAGCATAGGATAAAATCCAACACCCACTAATTGTAAAGCCAAAGGCTTGGCAATTAGAAACAGAAGGCATCGACTGGGCACGGTGGCTCACGCCTGTAATCCCAGTGCTTTGGGAGGCTGAGGCAGGTGGATCATGAGATCAGGAGATCGAGACCATCCTGGCTAACACGGTGAAACCCTATCTCTACTAAAAAATACAAAAAAATTAGCTGGGCCGTGGTGGCATGCACCTGTACTGCCAGCTACTCAGGAAGCTGAGGCAGGAGAATTGCTTGAACCCAGGAGGCAGAGGTTGCAGTGAGCCGAGATCGAGCCATTGCACTCCAGCCTGGGTGACAGAGCGAGACTCCGTCTCAAAAGAAAATAAATAAACAGAAAGAATCCTCCTTAACCTGATCAAGAATATTTTTTAAAGCCTGCAGCAGAAAATCAACCTCAATAGAGAAACACAAGATATACTCCCTCTAAAATCAGAAACAATACTTCTTATGGCATAGTTTTTAAGAAAAATTATAATAAAATCCAGAAATAAGGATGTCCATTATGGCCATTTCTGTTCAGCACAGCACTGGAGTCCTATTTTGATGGATTGATGCTGGAAGAGAGGAGAAACACAAGATAACAAATAAATAGAAATAGAACCCCAGCCAGCACAGGAGTGCACGGAGGAGAAATCAAGGTAGAACCCTAGCCAGCACAGGAGTGCACGAAGAAGAAATGAAGGGAGTGGGTACTGGAGAAGAAGAAACAACAGCTGGGCGCGGTGGCTCACGCCTATAATCCCAGCACTTTGGGAGGCCGAGGTGGGTGGATCATGAGGTCAAAAGATCGAGACCATCCTCGTCAACAAGGTGAAACCCCGTCTCTACTAAAAATACAAAAATTAGCTGGGCATGGTGGCGCGCACCTGTAGTCCCAGCTACTCGGGAGGCTGAGGCAGGAGAATTGCTTGAACCCAGGAGGCGGAGGTTGCGGTGAGCCAAGATCGTGCCACTGCACTCCAGTCTGGGTAACAACAGCAAAACTCCGTCTCAAAAAAAAAAAAAAGAAAAAACACTGCTCATTTAAAGGTGACACAGTCTGGGTAAGGTGTATCGCACTTGTAATCCCAGCACTTTGGGAGGTTAAGGTGAGAGGCTCACTTGAGCACAGGAAATTTGAGACCAGTCTGAGCAACATAGTGAGACCCCATGTCTTCAAAAAAAATTTTTAAATCATGGCTGAGTAGAAGAAAAGTAGCTGGGCGTGGTGGCACACACCTGTAGTCTCAGCTTCGAGGGTGGCTGAAGCAGGAGGATCCCTTGAGCCTGGGAGGACGAGGTTGCAGTAAGCCATGATTGTGCCACTGCACTCCAGCCTGGGTGACAGAGCAAGACTCTGTCTCGAAAAAAAAAAAAGTAAAGATGACATAATTGTATACTTAGAAAAGCCAAAAGAAAAAAAAACACAGATAAATTGTTTTAACGTAAAACAAGTCTTTACCAAGATAAATGACTATAATATTATTGTATGAGGAATATTTTTTTTGAGACAGAGTCTCACTCTGTTGCCCACGCTGGAGAATAGTGTCTCAATTTTGGCTCACTGCAACCTCTGCTTCCTGGATTCAAGCAATTCTCCTGCCCAAGCACTTGGGATTACAGATGCACACCACCACACTTGGCTAATTTTGTATTTTTGTAGAGATGGAGTTTCACCCTGTTTGTTGGCCAGGCTGGTCTCAAACTCCTGACCTCAGGTGATCCACCCACCTCGGCCTCCCAAAGAGCTGGGATTATAGGCATGAGCCACTGTGTCTGGCCATATATGAGGAATAATTCAATTCCATTTCTATAAACCAAAAATAATTACAAAATGTAATTTAAAAATAAGAAAGTAGGCTGCGTGTGGTGGCTCACGCCTGTAATCCCAGCACTTTGGGAGGCCGAGGTGAGCGGATCACCTGAGGTCGGGAGTTTGAGACCAGCCTAACAAATGCGGTGAGCTGAGATCACAACACTGCACTCCAGCCTGGGCGACAGAGCAAGGCTTCATCTCAAAATAATAATAATAATAATTAGCTGGGCATGGTAGCGTGTGCCTGTAGTCCCAGCTAGTCAGGAGGCTGAGGCAGGAGAATCACTTGAACCTGGGAGATGGAGGTTGCAGTGAGCTGAGATCGTGCCACTGCACTCTAACCTGGGTGACAGAGCAAGACTCCATCTTGGAAAAGAAAAAAAAAATTTCTCTACCCTTACCTAGAGAAAAAAAATGTCTTTTCATTAAATATTAACTTTCTTCACACAGGCTTTGTCAATATTAGATTTATTTCTAGGTAACCTATAGTTTTGGTTACTATTAAAAATACTTTCTGCCGGGCACAGTGGGTCATCCCTGTAATCCCAGCACTTTGGGAGTCTGAGGCCGGTGGATCACGAGGTCAGGAGTTCAAGACCAGCCTGACCAACATGGTGAAACCCCGTCTCTACTAAAAATATAAAAATTAGCAGGGTGTGGTGGTGGGCAGCTGTAATCCCAGCTACTTGGGAGGCTGAGACAGGAGAATGACTTGAACCTGGGAGGTGGAGGTTGCAGTGAGCCAAGCTCACTACTGCACTCCAGCCTGGGCAACAGAGCAAGACCCTGTCTCAAAATAAATAAATAAGTAAATAAATAAATAAGTTCAGCTCCAAACTGGGGAAAGTGGGGTCCACAGAAAGAAGTGGTTATAACTACTAGGGGAACAGGGCCCTTTTACTGAGAGAGGAACAGATACACCCTCATCAACACAGAGGCACAGACATAGAAAGGAAGAAACAGAGAGTCTTAGAGAAAGAGACAGAAGCAGGGTACCCGGAGTCAGGGACGGAGCACACAGACCCAGGGAAGCAGACAGAGGCGCATAGACGATAGATTCCGATTTGGTCAGATGGAGCCAGAGCAATGCCTGGGCACAGAGAGACCCAGCAGCTGGCAGAACAGAGGAGACATAGAATAGAATGGTGGCTAGACGGGCGAGGAGAGGAGGAGCAAGGCAGGGGCATTCATGAGGATTTGTCTGTCCATACCAGGCGGGAGGGGTGGCCACCCTGGTGCTGCAGTCCCAGAAAGGTGTCCAGTTCTTCTTGGCTCTGCAGGAAGGGGGCCTCCTCGGGGCTTGGGCATCCCGACGCCTGCAGTCTCCTGAAACACACATCGCCACCACCACCCTCTGTATCCAGTGGCCAGTGACGGGCACCAGGGAGGAACACCGCCTCGCTTCAGCCCAGCCCTGTTGCTTGCCCCCAGCCCAGCCCTTCCTGTTGGCATAGGCACAGCCCAGACCCAAACTGGCCGCACTTTGGGGCTCTGCTTTGCCAGGGCTGCAGAGTTGATTGTGGGCAAGAGCGGCCTCTGCTGGTCAAAGGAGAGTACTGCTCTCCAGAAGAAAGCCGGGGTTCAGGGGAAGGCGAACAGCAAGAGCAAGCTGGATTCTCACTCCTTGACTGGTTGCTGATGCCAGCCTTTGCCCCTGCTCAGCTAAATAGTCCACTCAGGACTCCAACCCCTCTCTAACCAAGGGGTATAATTAATGCCTGACCGTGAAAAGTGGGTGACACCTGAAAGACCCTGAGATACAGGTGGCACCACATAAGGGGGGCCCAGGCATGTGGGCAACTCTGCTTTCAGCCAGCTACCCTTTGGAAGGTGCCATGAGCCCTGCAGGCATTACTTCTCATCTGAGTTCCCACCCAAGCCAGTTCAGGGACAAGGCCCAGGGTCCTCGCCAGCTCTGCCCAGGAGTTAGGGAAGGTTGGTCCACTCACCAGAGCTAAAGGAACTTGTCCAAGGGGCCCATTGTCAGAGCAGAGGGACAGTGCCCTTTCATGGTCAGCAGGCCCCTACAATGCTCACTCACACTGAACTCTTCATGCTGACCCCCAGCCCTTCTCTTTCTGACTTCCTCTGATTTTGGGGAAGTGGTCAGGGATTTTCCACGGGAGGGGGAAGAGATGATCTTTCTGCCCCAGTCCACCAAGCGTATGCAGAACTCTGAGCAAGAACAGCTGATCTCACATGGCAATGCTGGACCATGTGTTAAGCCAGGACATCTCGTGTTGTCCTCAGCCTGCAGCCAAAAGCCCAGCAAGAATCTGGCACTGGGACAGGCCCAGTGTCCCAACCCTGGGACCACTTCCCTCAAGAAATCTCTGAAAGTTCTTTGGGCCTCAGTTTCCTTATCTGTAAAATGAGGAGATTGTGCCGTATGTTCTCTGTGTTCCTTCCAGCCCTGACACCATCACGTGGGTCTATGAACCCCCGTGGGAGGCAGAGGCAAGACGATCCTGATGCTCACCCCAACTCCACACCTCCCTCCCATTCCCACCCTCAGTCTGCCCTGAGAGAAGGAGATCAGAGCCACTGGAGAGAGCCGTATTTTGGAAGGCAGGCTCCATCCTCCGCAAAGGTCCACAAACGGGACTGGGTTCTGGCTCTCCAGGGAAAGGACTGCGGGCCTAGTTCTCCTCTCTCCTGTTGTCCTTCGGAGGGTTGTCTCTAGAGAATTATCTAGTTCCTTCCCAATCACTTTCCCATTTTCTCCAAGGTCTACGCCTGGAGGGAAGGAGGTACAGGAGATTCCCTGCGGGCTTACCTATTCAGTGGGTCCTCGAGCTCCCTGCCAGGCCCCCAACTATGTCTTTTGAAGAGGTCATAGTTTCGGCTGTGGGCACGGAAAGCCCCTGATCTTCGGAGGGGTACAGCATGTGAGCCATTCCCCTCCTTCATTTCCCCCACCTCTTCTTCCTCCAGTTGCTCTCTGGATTCGACGGCAGAAAGACAGCGGCGAGTGTGGCCTTGGGGCACCTGGTCTCCACCTTCGAGGAACACCTCTGGGACGGCTCTGTCCATGGGAGACATAGGTGGGCCAGTCTGCATCAGGAAGAAAGAAAAGGGTGAGCAGTGTTCTAGAACTTTGGAACCTTGGAGCTAGAAGCGTGTCACAGTCAGCTGGGCTTGGGAGCATCTAGCCACCCCTCACTTTACTGAGACACAGAACTGGAGAGTGTGTGGCTCAGGGTCACACTGTGAATCAGCTGCACAGTCAAGGCTGGAGCTTAGGTTTTCTGGCTCTCAGTTCAGTGTCTTCTCGTACGTAAAGAGACCCTCATTGTCTCATCCTTATTCCATTTACTGAAGATCCATACAGCAGAAAGCCAAGGAAAAAGAAATGGATATTGTTCCTGTCCTCAAGGATCTCAGTCCAGTGAGTGGGTGAGTGTGTGTGTGTGTGCACAAGCGGAAGGACAAATCACAAATGACTCCGTCACCGGCTCGCATGTGCCAAATGCCGTAAGAGAAGTTTCAACAAAAGGCTGTGGGCTGTTAACTGAGTGAGCGCATAAGTCCAGTTGGGAGACAAAAAAGGGAAACAGACCAGGTGTGGTGGCACACCCACAACTTTGGGAGGCTGAGGCGGGGGGATTGTTTGAGCTCAGGTGTTCCAGACAGCCTGGGCAACATAGTGAGACCCTGTCTTCACGAAAAATAAAAAGTTAGCTGGGCGTGGTGGCATGTGCTTATAGTCCCAGCTACTTGGGAGGCTGAGGTGGGAGGCTCACTTAAGCCCAGGTGTTCAAGGCTGCAGTGAGCTATGATCATTCCACTGCACTCCAGCCTGGGTGACAGAGCAAGACCTTGTTTGCTTTGGATTGTTTTTTCTTGTTTTGAGACAAAGGCTTGTTCTGTTGCCCAGGCTGGAGTGCAGTGGTGTGATCTTGGCTCACTGCAACCTCCGCCTCTCAGATTCAGGTGATTCTCCTGTCTCAGCCTCCTGAGTAGCTGGGATTATAGGCGTGCACCACCATGCCCAGCTAATTTTTGTATTTTTAGTAGAGACTGGGTTTTGCCATGTTGGTCAGGCTGATCTCGAAGTCCTGACCTCAGGATCCACCCTCCGTGGCCTCCCAATGTGCTGGGATTACAGGTGTGAGCCACCGCACCCAGCCTTTTCTTCTTTTTTTGAGATGGAGTTCCGCTCTTGTTGCCCAAGCTGGAGTACAATGGCATGATCATGGCTTACTGCAACCTCTGCCTCCCAGGTTCAAGCTGTTCTTTTGCCTCAGCCTCCTGAGTAGCTGGGGTTACAGATGTATGCTACCACCCCTGGCTAATTTTTTGTATTTTTAGTAGAAATGGACTTTCACCATGTTTGCCAGGCTGGTCTTGAACTCCTGACCTCAGGTGATCCACCTGCTTTGGCCTCCCAAAGTGCTGGGATTACAGGTGTGAAGACTTGGCTTTATTTTTGTTTTTAAAGGGAGTAGGAACAGAAGGAAATACAGGGCCTTTGAGATGTGCCTGGAGGGGTAAAGTGGTTAGGATTTTCCCAGGGAAGAGGGAGAGGATTTTAAGTAGATAAAATAGTTGGGGGAAAGGTTCATGAGTGATAGCGTTGTGATTTCTTCCTTTTTTTTTTTGAGACGGAATTTTGCTCTTATTGCTCAGGCTGGAGTGCAATGGCTCCCAAGTTCAAGCAATTCTCCTGCCTCAGCCTCCCAAGTAGCTGGAACTACAGGCACCTGCCATCATGCCCAGCTAATTTATATATTTTTAGTAGACATGGGGTTTCTCCCTTACATATTGGCCAGGATGGTCTCGAACTCCTGACCTGTGATCCGCCTGTCTTCGCCTCCCAAAGTGCTGGGAATACAGGTGTGAGCCATTGTGCCTGGCATGATTTCTTCTTCCAAGAGTCTGGTCTTATGGAGAGTGAAAGCCATTGTGACCTCTCCCCACGTTGCAGAGAGGAGGGCTCCAAGCATCAGCCTCAGAGCACACATTTCCTCCACTGTCTCCCCAGTGGGCATTGCTCTCACTTCCCAGCACTCCTGGTTGGCATCAGGGCTGCCGCAATGTGTCTCAGAGTTAAGAACACTCAGATGCTCTTAAAGTTGAAAATGATAAACCCCACTCCAGAAAGAAGTGCCAAGTCCCAGAGTACCAGGGGCAGGAAGGGCAGGAAGGGCAATAACATTTACTGCATACCTCTGTACACTTCACTCCTAGGCCATGTCTCTCTAGACCTTCTGCTAGAATGAGTCTCCCAGGCTCCCCTTCTCCTGGGAACACTTCCAGCTACTAAGATGTCATGAGTGCCCAGAAGGATCAGGAAGCTGGGACCCAGACCTTCCCTCTTTCCAGGCTTACTGTGGGGCTGTCAGACTTCCTCCAGGTTGTCTTAACCACCCCGGGAAAGTCCAGGTTATTGGAAAGTTGTCCCTTCAATCTACTTTCCTCCCTCATTGCAATCTGTCCACTGCCTTCACCCCAGCCAGAGCTGCTGGGAAGAAAGTGCTGTGCCTGGGGTGGCTGTGTGCCTATTTACCACGGAGACGGGAGGGAGGCAGGTACTCAGTCCTCTGCAGATGGCAGCTGCTCCCCCGCTGGGAGGGTCTAAGGGAAGAAAGGGAGAAGCCTGGGAGAGTGGCCAGGTCCTGTGCCCATCCGTGCTCATCGCGTCTGGGAGCAATGGACGGGGAAGCCCTCAGCCAGCCGCCAGGAGAGACCCTCTCCCTTCTTGCCTACAAACAGGCCTTGTGCTGGCTACACACAGGATGAGCAGATCTACAGGAAGCAGGTCAGAGCTGAGGGCCACGGCAGGGTCCCTCCCAATCAGTGGCCTCCAAAGCTGAGATTTGGAGGCAGAGGGAGGTTGACAAAAATATTATGAAAAGCTTGGGTGGAAAAAAGAGTAGGAACTGGAGATATACTAGGAAAAGGGGAATGGGGGCTGGAAATAGGACGGAAACTGAGAGGCAGTGAGGGGGAGGCAGGGACACCTGGGTGGATCATGGGAGGTCTGAAATTCAGGGACCTCCCAGAAGCAGAAAGTTGGTTTGAACTGTATGCCCTGTACCCAACCTCTACCTGATAGCCTTGTTTCAGCCTGTGCCTGCAGGGTTAATTTTTTTTTTTTTTTTTTGAGAGAGAGGACCTCTCTCCTCTGTCACCCTCAAGCTTCAAGGCTTACAGCAGCCTCCACCTCTCAGGATCAAACAGTCCTCCCACATTAGCCTCCTGAATTGGTAGGACTGCAGTTGCATGCCACCACATCCAGCTAATTTTTTTTTTTTTATAAAGATGGGGTTTCACCATGATGGCCAGGCTGGTCTTGAACTCCTGACATCAGGTGATCCACCCACCTCGGCCTCCCAAAGTGCTAGGATTACAGGTGTGAGCCACCATGCCCGGCCTAAATTTTTTTTTTTGAGACAGAGTTTTGCTCTTTTGCCCAGGCTGGAGTGCAGTGGCATGATCTCGGCTCACTGCAACCTCCACTTCCCTGGTTTAAGCAATTCCCCTGCCTCAGCCTCCCAAGTAGCTGAGATTACAGGCACACGCCACCACACCTGGCTAATTTTTTTTTGTATTTTTAGTAGAGACGAGGTTTCACCATGTTGACCAGACTGGTCTCGAACTCCTGACCTCAGGCAATCCACCTGCCTTGGCCTCCCAAAGTGCTGGGATTATAGGCATGAGCCACTGCGCCTGGCCTCCAGCTAATTTTTAAATGTTTGTTTTGTTTTGATTTAGGTGGAGTTTTGCTCTTATTGCCCAGGCTGGAGTGCAATGGTGTGATCTCAGCTCACTGCAACCTCCACCTCCCGGGTTCAAGAAATTCTCCAGCCTCAGCCTCCAGAGTAGCCGGGACTACAGGCATGCACTACCACACCCGGCTAATATTTGTATTTTTAGTAGAGACAGGGTTTCACTATGTTGGCCAGGCTAGACTTGAACTCCTGACTTCAGGTGATTCATCCACCTCAGCCTCCCAAAGTGCTGGGATTACAGGTGTGAGCCACTGCACCTGTTTTTAAATTTTTTACAGAGATGAAGTCTCACTATGTTGCCAAGGCTGGTCTCAAACTCCTGGGCCCAAGCGATCCTCCTGCCTCGGCCTCCCAAAGTGCTAGAATTATAGCTGTGAGCCACTACGAATGGCCTGCAGTGTTTAATTTGGCAAGATGAAGGAAATGCAGTGAACTGGAGACCTCTAGTTTTCTTCAGTCCCTGCAGGTATTCCTGCTGGAGATAGGGTCCTGTCACCCCGGCCCCACTGACAGACACCTCAGCTCTTATGATCTTTGTGTAACTCATCCTTCTTCCTCCCACTCAGACCAACTGGAGTCCGACCTCTTCTCAAGATCTACCCTTTTTCCAGCATTGCTGTCATTTCATTCATGGTCTCTGCCCTCTGTGAAAATGAAATCTGTCTGGCAGTTTCTCCCTTACATCCTCATCTCCACTCACCCTGCCTCATGCCATGATGCCAATATTTTTTTTTTTGAGACGTAGTTTCCCTCTCATTACCCAGGCTGGAGTGCAATGGCTCGATCTTGGCTCACCCCAACCTCCGCCTCCTGGGTTCAGGCAATTCTCCTGCCTCAGCCTCCTGAGTAGCTGGGATTACAGGCACACACCACCATGCCCAGCTAATTTTTTATATTTTTAGTAGAGACGGGGTTTCACCTTGTTGACCAGGATGGTCTCGATCTCTTGACCTCGTGATCCACCTGCCTCGGCCTCCCAAAGTGCTAGGATTACAGGCTTGAGCCACCGTGCCCGGCCCAGTTTTTTTTTTTTTTTTTTTTTTTTGAGACGGAGTTTTGCTCTTGTTACCCAGGCTGGAGTGCAATGGCGTGATCTCGGCTCACCGCAACCTCCGCCTCCTGGGTTCAGGCAATTCTCCTGCCTCAGCCTCCTGGGTAGCTGGGATTACAGGCACTTGCCACCATGCCCAGCTAATTTTTTTGTATTTTTAGTAGAGACGGGGTTTCACCATGTTGACCAGGATGGTCTTGATCTCTCGCCCTCATGATCCACCCGCCTTGGCCTCCCAAAGTGCTGGGATTACAGGCGTGAGCCACTGTGCCCGGCTGATGCCAATACTTTTATTCTGTCCCTCAGAGGGTTGAGGTTTAGTAAGGGTTCCTCAACTCCCTCCTAGCAGTATTCCCTCCTCCACCATCTGAAATTCAGACTGGGACTCCAGTCATCCTGTTGCTTTTCCTTCCATTAGCTTAACTCTCCCAGCCCCCCTCCCATTTTCCCTCAGCCTTCTGAGCTCAGGAAATGGTGCATGGGAAAGGCCAGGGCTGGGTCTCACACAATGGTTTTATTTAGCTCTAGAATGAGATCACATTATGTCATATCACTGCTTCCGCTGAGCAGAGAGATAGGAGATTCTGAAATAGGTCTGGGATCAGATGCTTGAGACGGGGAGGTGGGGGGTGGGAAAGCAGAAAGGGGCTCTAAGAAGTCATTTCACTTGTCATCCTGCCTCTGGATGGAATCGTCTTCCCACCACTGCAAACCATCAGCGTGTCCTGTCCCTTCCTCCGAGTGTGTAACCTTCACAGATTGCACTAGTCATCAAAGATTTCTTAGGCATTCTACTGGAAGCTGGATGGGAATATGTATTTTAATAGAGAGAGAGACATCTGTTACTCAAAACTCTGAGACTGTAATTTCTTTAGGGCGCTACAGCTTTGAAGTCGGTCAGATTTGCTAGCTCTGCCCCTTTCTTTTTTTTCTTCAAGACAGTCTCACTCTGTAACTGAGGCTGGAGTGCAGTGGCACGATCCTGTCTCATTGCAACCTCCACCTCCTAGGTTAAAGCAATTCTCCTGCCTCAGCCTCCCAAGTAGCTGGGATTACAGGCGCCTGCCATCACGCCTGGCTAATTTTTGTATTTCTACTAGAGACGGGTTTTTGCCATGTTGGCAGGGCTGGTCTAGAACTCCTGAACTCAGGTGATTCACCCACCTCAACCTCCCAAAGTGCTAGGATTACAGGCATGAGCCACTGCACCCAGCCTAGCTATGCCACTTTTTTTTTTTTTTTTTTTTAAGAAAGGCAGACTGCCACATGCAGCACTTCATTTGGATGTGTCTGGAGCTATGCCACACAACCTTGGTAACTTATCTTTTTTTCTTTTTTGGACCCAGGGTCTGGCTCTGTGGCCAAACCTGGAGTGCAGTCTTGATCAGAGCTCACTGTAGTCTCAAACTCCTGGGTCAAGCGATCCTCCTGCTTTAGCATCCAGTAGATGGGACTACATGTATGTACCACCACGCTCTAAGTTCAAAAAAATTTTGGGGCTAGGCACAGTGGCTCATGCCAGTAATCGAGCACTTTGGGAGGCTCAGATGGGTAAATCATGAGGTCAGGATTTTGAGACCAGCCTGGCCAATATGGTGAAACTCTGTCTCTACTAAAAATACAGAAATTAGCCAGGCATAGTGGTGGGTGCCTGTAATCCCAGCTACTAGGGAAGCTGAGGCAGGAGAATAGCTTGAACCTGAGAGGCAGAGGCTGCAGTGAGCCAAAACTGTGCTACTGCACTCCAGCCTGGGCAACAAGAGTGAAACTCCATCTAAAAAAAAAAATTTTTTTAGAGATGGGGGTCTCACTGTGTTGCCCAGGTTGGTCTTGAACTCCTGGCCTCAAGTGATCCTTTTGTCTTGGCCTCCCTAAGTGTTGGGATTAGAGATATGAGCCCCTGAGCCCAGCCCGGCCAGTGTTTTTGACCCTCAGACTCATGTATAAAATGAGAATGAGAGGTTGGGTGCAGTGGCTCATGCCTATAATCCCAGCAGTTTGGGAGGGTGAGGTGAGTGGATCACCTGAGGTCAGAAGTTTGAGACCAGTCTGACCAATGTGGTGAAACCCTGTCTTTACTAAAAAGACAAAATTAGCCAGGCACGGTGGCTCACGCCTGTAATCCTAGCACATTGACCAGGCTGGTCTCAAACTCCCGGGCTCAACTGATCTGCCTGTCTTGGCCTCCCACAGTGCTAGGATTACAGGCATAAACCACCTCGCCTGGCCAAAACTTACTTTGTAAGGATGTTGAAAGACTTGATGATAATGTATGCAATGCAACGAGTGCCCCTTACATCTGTCTTTGGTACATATTAGGTGCTCAATAAATACTATTATTATTTTATTATTGTTACTTAGGGGTCATAGAGACAACAGGGCATGTTGAAACAGAGAGCTAGAAAGAAAGAGGCTCAGCCGGGCTTGGTGGCTCATGCCTGTAATTCCAGCACTTTGGGAGGCTGAGGCGGGTGGATCACGAGGTCAAGAGATTGAGACCATCCTGGTCAACATGGTGAAACCCCGTCTCTACTAAAAATACAAAACTTAGCTGGGTGCGGTGGCGCACACCTATAATCCCAGCTACTTGGGAGGCCGAGGCAGGAGAATCACTTGAACCCAGGATGTGGAGGTTGCAGTGAGCCAAGATGGCACCACTGCACTCCAGGCTGGCGATAGAGTGAGACACTGTCTGAAAAAAGAAAAAAAAAGAAGGAAAGAAAAAGAAAAAAGGAGACCCAAGATAGAAGCAGAAATAGGCATTATATGATGGTGACCCACCGTTTTCTCTTAGAGAGAGAATAACCCATGGGTGACACTAACGTAGCTATGATGGGAACAGTTCTCATAAACAGCTTCTGATGGGAAAGCATGTATGCAACCAGAACAAGAAGAGCAAGAAGAAATGGGAGCTTTTTTGTTCTTTGGGACCCTGTTGAGCCCTGATATAGATGTCCTCTTCAAGGAGAAGAAAGGGATAGAATGGCCTCTGGAAATTTAAAGCAAGGGTTAGCAAACTCTAGCCTCTGGGACAAATCTGTCCTGCTATCTTTTTTTAATAGGTGAAAAAAAAAAAAGAATACTTTGAGACACAAAATTATATGAAATTCAAATTTCAGTCCCCATAAATAAAGTATTTTTGGAATGCAGCCATGCTCAGTCATTTACATATTGTCTATGGCTGTTTTTGCATATCAACAAAGTTGATAGTTGCAAAAGAGAGCCCACAAAGCCTGATGTATAGATATATCCTGAGTCTGGGATCCTAATATATATATATGTGTATTATATATATATATATATATTTTTTTTTTTTTTTTGAGGTGGAGTTTCACTTTTGTTGCCTAGGCTGGAGTGCAATGGCATGATCTCAGTTCACTGCAACCTCCGCCTCCCAGATTCAAGAGATTCTCTTGCCCCAGCCTTCAGAGTAGCTGGGACTAAAGGCACGCACCACCACTCCTAGCTAATTTTAGTATTTTTTAGTAGAGACGGGGTTTCACCATGTTGGCCAGGTTGGTCTCGAACTCCTGGCCTCAGGTGATCCACCTGCCTCGGCCTCCCAAAGTGCTGTGCTGGGATTACAGGCATGAGCCACCATGCCTGCAGCCTTGACTTTCCAGGCTCAAGCAAGCCTCCCACCTCAGCTTTTGGAGTAGCTGGGACTACAGGCGCATGCCATCACACTGGGATAATTTTTGTATTTTTTGTAGAAACGAGGTCTCACTATGATGCCCATGCTGGTCTCAAACTCCTGAGCACAAGTGAAATGCTCATCTTGGCCTCCCAAAAGTGCTGGGATTACAGGCATATGCTACCATGCTTGGCCTAAAATATTTGTTATCTGGATCCTTACAAAAAAAGTTTGTCAACTCCTGATCTAGAGCAACTGGGTCTCAAAATCTTAGGAAGGAGGAGAAAAAAGATAAAAGAGGGACGTGAAGGCTCACTACACACCAGACATTCTGTAACCTTTTCAGGAAGAAGGGACACTGAGACATTGAGACCCCAATATACCTACGTCCTGGTTTTTTTTGTTGTTGTTTTTTGTTTTTTTGAGATGGAGTCTTGCTCTGTTGCCCAGGCTGGAGTGCAATGGCGTGATCTTGGCTCACTGCAATCTCCACCTCCCAGGTTCAAGCAATTCTTCTGCCTCAGCCTCCCAAGTAGCTGGGATTACAGGCGCTTGCCACCACGCCCAGCTAATTTTTGTATTTTTAGTAGAGACGGGGTTTCACCATGTTGGTCAGGCTGGTCTCATACTCCTGACTTCTGGTGATCCACCTGCCTCGGCCTCCCACAGTCCTGGGATTGCAGGCATGAGCCACTGTACCCAGCCAACATACCTACTCCCTAAATGTCATCTGAGGCCTATGGAGAGAGATAAAAATGAGTGTCAACATCCATTTTGTGCCATCCTCAAAATATTTCTTGAAATAGACATTATTATCCCTGTTTTACACATGAAGAAACAGGCTGCATAGGTGGTGGTGCGTCTGTAATCCCAGCTACTTGGGAGGCTGAGGCAGAAGAATCGCTTGAACCCGGGAGGTGGAGGTTGCAGTGAGCTGAGATTGTGCCACTACACTCCAGCCTGGGTGACAGAGTGAGACTCTGTTTCAATAAAAAAGAAGAAAAAAAAAAAAAAGAGGGCTCACAGAGACCTTCAGTAACTGGCTGGAAGTTACACAGCTGCTAGGAGGTGGAGATGAATTTTCAAAGCTGATCCATCACATTATGGAGCCTAAATTCCTTTCTGAAACCAGAAAACAAGCTCCCAAAGAGAGCAAGTGGCTAGCTTTTTTTTTTTTTTTTTAAGACAGTCTCCCTGTGTCACCCAAGCTGGAGTACAGTGGCACAATCTCGGCCACTGCCTCCCAGATACAAGTGATTCTCCTGCCTCAGCCTCCTGAGTAGCTGGGATTACAGGCATGCACCACCATGCCTGGTTAATTTTTATAATTTTAGTAGAGATGGGGTTGCTCCGTGTTGGCCAGGCTGGTCTTGAACTCCTGACCTGAAGCAATTCAACCATCTTGGTCTCCCAAAGTTCTGGGATTACAGACCTGAGCCACTGCGCCTGGCCTATCAAGTGGCAAGCTTTTCTTTTTTTTTTTCTTTCAAGATAGAGTCTCACTCTGTCACCTGGGCTGGAGTGCAATGGCGCTATCTTGGCTCACTGCAACCTCTGCTTCCCAGGTTCAAGCAACTTTCCTGCCTCAGCCTTCTGAGTAGTTGAAATTACAGGCACCCACCATCGTGCCCAGCTAATTTTTGTATTTTTGTAGAGAAGGGGTTTTCACCATGTTTCCCAGGCTGGTCTTGAACTCCTGACCTCAGGTGATCTGCTCACCTTAGCCTCCCAAAGTGCGGGGATTACAGGCATGAGCCACCACGCCAGGCCAAGTGGCTAGCTTTGAAAGAAATCTGGCAACACTGTTTTTACCCACCTTATTCCTACCTCCCTGACCTCAGCCAAAGAAAGGAAGCAGCTTCCAAGAGAAATAAGACAAGGGTCCCAAAGAAGTGAAATGTATCCTTTCGTCAGCTTAGGCCTCTGAACGAGGTGATGGGGAACAGACGGTGTTTGCTGGTTGTGTTTGCTGCCAGCAAACACTGAACATCAGGGAGGAACTGCTGGAGCAACCACACAGCCAGGCGCTGTGGCCTGGAGGCAATGCTGGCTGGCCCTTTTGCAGCCTGAGCAGCTTTCTGAGTTTGGCTGTGGGATCCTAAATCTACCAAGGTGGCCGATGTTGGAGAAGACCCAAGAGAACTGGATAAGAAAGACTGAGGAGGAAGAGAGAGGGCAAATGGCATGTCGTACTGGGCTCTCCTCCAGATCTCCTGGGCACGGGCAGGGGTGGGGGGAGCACAGGGTCACAAAAACTCTTTGATGGTTCAAAATTTAACCTAACATTTCTTCTCCTGTAGAAAGTAAACCATTAATCCAACAGTGCCCTGCAAAGAAGGTAAAGCAAAGCTTCTCTTCACCTCAGATAAAGAAGGTCCCGGGAGATACAGTGCCTTCCCACCTGCTCCCTAGATACCCCATTCCAGGATAGGAGCACCCGAGTCTCTGATACCCTCCTGCTTCACCCATCTGCCTGACTTGGCTGAACGCAGGTGTCCTGGAACTCTTTCTCTCACCTTCCTGTCCACTGCCAGAGAGTAGTAAAATTCCAAAAATGAAAGGCAAGTAAAAGATACAGAGGATCCATTCATTCAGCAAAGATTACTTTAGCACCTTCTAGGTATTAGGCACAGAGAAGAGGACCCAGAAAGGTCTTTGCACAAACACAAACACAATGGCGAGACCTGGCTACTATCCCTCAGTGGGGCAGAGGCCAGTATGGGCAAAAGCCATTTGTCCATCAGCTTCCGGGTTGTCTCCTGAGAGACACTGTATGCAGAGGCCAGTATGGGCAAAAGCCATTTGTCCATCAGCTTCCGGGTTGTCTCCTGAGAGACACTGTACTTAGTTCTGGAATTTCAGAGCATCTGCAGAACTCTAATGTAACCGCACCCCGCCCCACTAAGCCAGCTGCAGGCATCTCAGACGCTCCCCCTAAATCATCCCCGTGTCGTTGATGTACTAGTTTCATAAGCTGGTCAGGAATTTTGCTGATCTGGGCTTCCAAGTATGACCCCCTTTTTTTTTTAATTGGCTAGTAAACTGAACTTAGGGACCCTGCCCTCTTCCCTCCTGCTGGACCTGTAGCTGTATGCTTAGTCCAACAGGGGCTTGGGACCCAGAATAGCCCTTCGTCTGTGGGGGACAGGGAAGAAAAGGGTCAAGACCAACCTCCTGCCAGTTCCCTGGCATGTGTTCTGGGTGCTACGCCAGACGGGTGGGGCAAGAGAGGGTCTGAGGGTAAGGACTCAGGAAGGGAAGAGGGAAACTCACCAGACCTGGGAGATATCCCAAAGATGGGGGACCTGCTTCTGTCCTCAGTTGGTGACTTTAGTGCGGGACAAAGTCCTGTTTCAGGTGGCCCCCTTAAAAACCCAGTCCAGCACCTTAGTTGGGGGCACCTCTCTCTTGGTCCTTTTAAGGGAGCTGCTCATGGTCCAGAAGTTTGCATAGGAGAAAGAGGGGACTCAGTCCAGTCCAGACCAGCTGCCTCTTCAACCACTATAGCCCTTCCCTTCCCCGCCCCACTTCAAACACCCTAAACAGTGCTGTGCCCAGGCCCTTAACCCTTTCAGTGCCACCACTGATCCCAGGGACTCCTGGGTCCCTCTGTCCTCAGCATTTCCTGAACACAGAGTGACCACATAGAATTTAGACTTGTGTGGAAACAGGTATAAGAAGCCATGCTGGGGTCACCCTGAGGAGAGAGTATGTAGGAACCTGACAGCCCAGGGAACATTCACCCTCCCTCCAGGAGGGTCAGGGATAAACTGGGGAGGGGAGAAAGCAGACATCTCAGGGAAAGAAACAGATGCCACTGGAAACCTACTTAACAGCAGGGTCCTCAGCGGGGCAGTGGGGGGGTTCTTCATCCAGCTCCAAAACTGATGGTCCACCAGGCTCCGTGGCTCATGCCTATACTCCCAGCACTTTGGGAGGCCGAGGAGGGATAACGAGGTCAGGAGTCAGAGACTAGCCTGGCCAACATGGTGAAACCCGTCTCAACTAAAAATACAAAAATTAGCCTGGCGTGGTGGTGCACACCTGTAATCCCAGCTAATGGGGAGGCTGAGGCAGGAGAATCAATTGAACGTGGGATGCACAGTTTATAGCAAGCCAGGGTCACACCACTGTACTCAAGCCTGGGCAACGGAGTGAGACTCCATCTCAAAACAAACAAACAAAAAACCCTGATTGTCGGTCCCTTTAAGAGGCAGGTTATGGCAATGGAGGAAAGATTGTATTTTTTTTTGTGATGAAAGTACAGGGTGGAGCGTTACAAGGCAGCTGCACTGAGAAGGGCCCTAGCGTCAGCACCAGGAACCGAAGTGACCAAGCAACTCAGCATACCCAGGGCTCATGGCTTGTTGTGGATACCAGCGGGATATTGACTGGCTCCTCCACTCTCTTCCCAGATAACAGCTTCTGGGGCGGGGCAGGGGCTGACTCACCTTCTCCGCTTTCCCTGGGGCAGAGGACAGCTGGGGCGGAAGTCGGACTTCCTCAGGTAACTGGGAGCCCTCCTCACCTCCTGTGGTCTGGTAGAAAGGGCAAGTTGGAGTTGGAAGATGGCTGGGTCTGCCAACTCACTAGTTACAGGGCCCTGAGTCCCCTATGTAGCCTCATTTCCTCATCTGTAAAATGCAGATGTTAAATGAGACGTGCAAACCAAGTCCAAAAGTGGAACATAAATGCTGGGTCCATAATAAATAAATATGCTAGCTGCCACTGGCTGGGCAACCTTGGACAAGCCGCTTCAACCTGCGTCTTTCCTGACCTATTAAATGAGAGGATTAAATTAGGCAATCTATGGTCTATCCTTGCTTGAAAATTCTGCTGCCAGAGGCAGAACTGTGTGCCCTTCCCCACCTGGCTGGGCCCCACCCCAACACTGAGAAAGTGACAATGGCTGTTCCTCAAGTTCCTCACTTCATAAGAATACAGGGGTGATGCCCGCCCTATCATACTGGTGAGGGGTCCTCAAAAATCCTCTAATTAAACAATTTTGTGTTTGTCCAGATGAGGAAACAGGCTCCAAGATGGAAAGCTATTATGTGTCTATATATAATTTATATATATAATATATAAATAACATGTTGTGTGTGTGTGTGTGTGTGTGTGTGTGTGTCTGTATAATTTTTGGCCAGGCACAGTGGCTCACGCCTGTAATCCCAGCACTGGGAGGCCAAGGCAGGCAAATCACGAGGTCAGGAGTTTGAGACTGGACTGGCCAATATAGTGAAACCCCCTCTCTACTAAAAATACAAAAATTAGCCAGGCATGGTGGCATGTGCCTATAGTCCCAGCTACTTGGGAAGCTGAGGCAGAAGAATCTCTTGAATGCAGGAGGCAGAGGTTGCAGTGAGCCAAAATTGTGCCACTGCACTCCAGCCTAGGACAGAGTGACAGAGCGAGACTCTGTCTCGAAAAAAAAAATTTTTTTTTTTCTGTTGAGATAGGGTCTCACTCTGTCACCCAGGCTGGAGTGCTGTGGCATGATCATGGCTCACTAAAGCCTTGAACTCCTGGCTCAAGCAGTCCTCCTGCCTCAGCCTCCTGAGAAGGGGGCATGATTTACCTAAGGCCATACAGTCAGTGAATGGTGGAGTTGGGGCTGGGACCCAGTACTCCTGCCTCCATGGCATATGCTGCTACTCACCCTCAGCTGCTCTTTCAAGAGACTACACCTTGGTAACTTCTCACCCTTTCACTGAATCACTCCATTACTTCCAGCTTGGTAGATTTTTTTTTTTTTTTTTTTTTTGAGATGGAATCTCACTCTGTCGCCCAGGCTGGAGTACAGTGGCACAATCTCAGCTCACTGCAACCTCTGCCTCCCAGGTTCATGCAATTTTCCTGCCTTAGCCTCCTGAGTAGCTGGGACTACAGGCATGCACCACCACAGTCAGCTAATTTTTGTATTTTTAGTAGAGACGGGGTTTCACCATGTTGGTCTGGGTGGTCTCGAACTCCTCACATCCTGATCTGCCTGCCTCGGCCTCCTAAAGTGTTGGGATTATAAGTGAGAGCCACCACACCCTGCCACTTTGTAGAAATTCTTTTACCTGTTTCCCATTTACTTTCTTCGAGTGTCAAAGCTGATTACAGGAAGGGGGCGGAAATCAAGGTACCTGGCTCCTCCTGGTACTGGGGCAGGGTGTGTGCGTAAGCAGACACCAGCTGAAAGTCTGCACAATGAGGGAGGGCTGGAGGGCTGGTCTCCAGGGGTGGGGGCACCTGAAACAGGCTGGCGGCTGACCTATCTGTATTGCCTTTTAGGGAGGAGCCTCAGTTTGGTACCCAGCCTCCAGGAAGGATGTGGGATCACTGCTTACTTTCCTCTCCCCTCACAGGTCTGCACACAATCCTGAGATCAAGGTCCATGCCTCTCTAGGGTGGTTTTCAGTCAGAGTGGAGGAGTGTTGTCTGCCACTCATCCTCCTATTAAATTACCTCAAGAAGTTAAGAGGGCTCAATCCTAAAGCCAACGATTCCAGCTAAGACTGTCTATAGATTTTAGAGGCTCTTTTATTCTCCAACACCACTACTTAAGGGAGGTTCACATTCCATCCTGACTCCAAGAAAGTTGATCTCTTAGGAGATGAGGTATCTAGCTTTGGCCTTTTTTCAAGGTGCCTGTGACACCAACTGCCTTTACAATGCTTCTCTTGTCACGTGTGTCAGGCCTGGGTTTCCCTCCTAGTCGCCCTCTCCATGACAAGGGCTAGGACACAAAGTGCTGAGTTTTGTAAGGGAAAGTACAATAAAGACACCCCAGCTTTTGGGAAGAGTTCAGATTAAGGAAGAAATCTTACAGACAGTCCCCGACTTACGATGGTTTAAGATTTTTTTTTTTACTTCACAAGTGTGAGAGCCACACACATTCAGTAGAAACCCTATTCCAAGTACCATAAAACCATTGTTTCTTTTACTTTCAGTACAGTAGTCAATAAATTCCATGAGATATTCAACACTTTATTTTACTTTTTGAGACAGTCTCGCTCTGTCGCCAGGCTGGAGTGCCGTGGCGTGATTTCGATACACTGCAACCTCCGCCTCCTGTGTTCCAGCGATTCTCCTGCCTCAGCCTCCCAAGTAGCTGGGACTATAGGCATGCACCAACACACCCAGCTAATTTTTGTATTTTTTCTTTTTTTCAGCAGAGATGGGGTTTCATCATGTTGGCCAGGATGGTCTCAGTCTCTTGATCTCATGATCTGCTCACCTCAGCCTCCCGAAGTGCTGAGATTACAGGCACGAGCCACTGTGCCCAGCCAAACTCTTTATTATAAAATAGGCTTTGTGGCCCACGCCTGTAATCCCAGCACTTTGGGAGGATCACTTGAGCTTAGGAGTTTGAGACCCCGCCTGGCCAATATGGAGAACCCCACTCTACTAATATAAAAATTAGCTGAGCATGGTGGTGGGGATCTGTAATCCCAGCTACTTTGGGAGGCTGAGGCATGAGAATCACTTGAACCTGGGAGGTGGAGGTTGCAGTGAGCCGAGACTGTGCCACTGCACTCCTGCCTAGGTGACAGAGTGAGACTCCATCTCAAAAAATAAATAAATACAAATAAAATAGGCTTAGTGTTAGATGACTTTGCCCAACTGTAGGCGAATGTAAGTGTCCAGAGTATGTTTTTTTTTTTGAGACGGAGTTTCACTCTTGTTACCCAGGCTGGAGTGCAATGGCGCGATCTCGGCTCACTGCAACCTCCACCTCCTGGGTTCAGGCAATTCTCCTGCCTCAGCCTCCTGAGTAGCTGGGATTACAGGCATGCGCCACCATGCCCAGCTAATTTTTTGTATTTTTAGTAGAGACGGGCTTTCACCATGTTGACCAGGATGGTCTCGATCTCTTGACCTCGTGATCCACCAGCCTTGGCCTCCCAAAATGCTGGGATTACAGGCGTGAGCCACTGTGCCCGGCCCAGAGTATGTTTAAGGTAGAATGGGCAAAGTTATGATGTTTGGTATGTTAGGTGTTTTAAATGCATTTTCAACTTAAGACATTTTTCAATTTACAACAGGGTTATGTCCTGATAACCCTATTGGAAGTCAAGGAATTACCTGTATTACCTTCCAGAGTTATGAAGTTTGCCCTATCCTCTGAGCAAGAACCTCTCCCCCTATAGGTTAACTCATTATATTTTCCTTGGAGACTACACAGATGGAAAATAGCACTTCCTCCTTCAGAGACTAACACTCCGTAGTCCTAGAGAGCAAAATGATGTGTATCAGACCGGCTCCCTTTCCCTTCCCCACATCTGTTCTCAACCCCAGGCCTCTGACTCATTGCCCCTTCCTCCCCATTCTCCTGAGCAAGTCCCAGGGTCTCTACCAGGAACACAATGAACAAAAGCAAGTACATCTTCCTTGCCTCTAACCTGGCCAGTCCTGGGATGTCCAAGCTGCAGCCCCCGAAAGAGGGATGTAAGCTGGCAGAGGGCTACTCCATTTGGAGCCTCCCGTTGTCTCCATGTTCTTTTCATCCTCCTGGGGCCTGGAGGCTCCGACTGCTGGGCTAGGGAAAGGTTAAACCAGTTGGGCAGGGGAGCCGGGGAAGCAGAATCTAAACTGGGCAACTCGGTAGCAGGAACAAAGCCTGTGTTTGTTGGGTTTCCCTCCTGCCTGGGAGGCTGTTCTCAGACCACGGCATTCCTGGGTTGGACAGAGTCAGCTCAGAGTGGCTTCTCCCCACTGTTGCTTCAGCAAAAGTCACTGCCGTTCCATAGGTCACACTTAGAGTCAAACTCAAGGGATCCAGGCACTTCTTCCCTGCCAGAGTTCAAAGAACAGAGGCATTGAGAGTAAATTCAGGCCAGGTGCGGTGGCTCATGCCTGTAATCCCAGCACTTTGGGAGGCTGAGGCAGGAGGATCACTTGTCAGGAGTTCAAGACCAGCATGGCCAACATGGTGAAACCCTGTCTATACTAAAAATTAAAAAATTAGCTAGGTGTGGTGGTGTGTGCCTGTAATCCAAGCTACTCAGGAAGCAGAGGCAGGAACATTGCTTGAACCAAGGAGGTGGAGGTTTCAGTCAGCTGGGATAGCACCACTGTACTCTAGCCTGAGGAACAGAGCAAGACTCCTTCTCAAAAAGTTAAAAATTAAAAAAACAAAAAAGGGGCTGGATGTGGCGGCTAACGCCTTTAATCCCCGCACTTTGGGAGGCTGAGGCAGGCGGATTATTTGAGGGCAGGAGTTCGAAACCAGCTTGACCTACATAGCAAAACCCCATCTCTACCAAAATACAAAAATTAGCTGGGTGTGGTGGTGGGTGCCTGTAATCCCAGCTACTCAGGAGGCTGAGGCAGGAGAATCACTTGAACCCAGGAGGTGGTGGTTGCAGTGAGCTGAGATCATGCCACTACACGCCAGCCTGGGTAACAGAGCAAGACTCCCTCTCAAAAACAAAAAAAAGGAAGGCCAAGGTGGGTGGATCACTGAGGTCAGGAGTTTGAGACCAGCCTGGCCAACATGATGAAACCCCATCTCTACTAAAAATACAAAAAAAATTAGCTGGGCGTAGAGGTGGGTGCCTGTAATCCTAGCCATTCGGGAGGCTGAGGCAGGAGAATCGCTTGAACTTGGGAGGTGGAGGTTGCAGTGAGCAGAGATCACAACATTGCACTGCAGCCTGGGTAACAGAGCGAGATTTCTTCTCAAAAAAAAAAAAACAGTAAAATTAAAGCTCAAGAAAAGCTTGATGCAGATTGGACATCCCAGGACTGGCCAGGTTCTTTTCAAGAACACTCAGTCAATAAATCAGATGCGGTCTAAGGGCATGGGAATAGCTGCTCCTCTGCCGATCATCTTTCCCTTCCTGTCTTCTCCAGCTGTGAAGAGGAGCTGCCTGGCAAGGAAAATAAGGGGTAGAAGCCAAAGATTCCAAAGGGCAGATATCTCCCTGGGAACAGGACCCACAGTCCCTACAGCAAGGCCAGAACTGAGCTTGCTTGCCCAGGGGTCTGGGCACTCAGGTACTGAGTTCCAGTAACTACCTGTGCTCACCCTCGTACTAAGAAAACAGACAAGTCAATGTGGCATTTGTTTTTATTAGAAAACCCTTTAGTAAGCACTTCCCTAACCCAGAACAGAGACTGGGTATCCTCCAAGAGTCCCACAGCTTTCATTTCATCTTCCACCCTCTTCTGAGAGAGGTGAGCAGGGGATGGGGATGGTGTCAGGCAGTCTCCGAAGTCCCCTCCTAGACCCCTGAGAGAACTCACATGCCAGCAGTAAACCAACAGCACCTCAGTGGGGCATCAGAGGGCCCTCTAGGCTCAAGGCTGTTGCCAAAGGCATTCCTGTTTGTATGGCTTCACGATGGAACCAAGGAGGCTCTCATAGACTCCTTCACCATGACTGAGAGTAGGGAGGAGAATGCGGCCGAGGGCTAAGGGAGAAGAAGAGATTGCATTTAAGAAAGCTTTGGAGTCTGGAAAGCACCTGGATGTCCTGGGAGAGGAGCCTGGATTTCCTGGGAGAGGAGCCTGGATTTCCTGGGAGAGGAGGGCTGAGGAAGCCTGCTCAGTTCTTCTTTGTTTTGGGAGTGTCGTATTTCCTCTTGCTGGAGTACCACAATAGCAGGGGTATGCCGATGGAGGGAAGGGTCATGACCCCAAAGGCTGCCCAGTCCAGCTGTGAAGGAAAACAAACACCTTGGTTAGAAGTCTGGATTTGGACACAGGAGAAGCCAGGGAAAATATGAGTTCAATGAGAAAGGGAGCAGTCTAGCCCAAATTTATTTATTTTTGAGACAGGGTCTTGCTCTGTTACTCAGGCTGTAGTGCATTGACATGATCACGGCTCACTGCAGCCTCAACCTCCTGGGCTCAAGTGATCCTCCCACTTCAGCCTTCTGAGTAGCTAGGATCACAGGGGTGTGCCAGGACACCTGGCTAATTTATTTTTTGTACAGGCAAACTATCACTATGTTGTCCGAGCTGGTCTCGAATTCCTAGGCTCAAGTGATCCTCCGGCCTTGATGTCCTAAAGTGCTGAAATTACAGGTGTGAGCCACCACACCCAGCCTAAATTTTCTTAATTTTTAATTTTAATTTTTTTTAGAGATAGGGTCTTACTCTGATACTCAGGTTGGAATGCAGTGGCACAATCATAGCTCACTGCAGCCTCAAACTCCTGGGCCCAAGTGATTTTCCGGCCACCCAAGTAGCAGAGATTACAGGTGCCTGCCACCAGGCCTAACTCAGCACAAATCTTTTTTTTTTTTTTTTATGAGATGGAGTCTCCCTCTGTGGCCCAGGATGGAATGCAGTGGCGTGATCTCGGCTCACTGCAACCTCTGCCTCCCAGGTTTAAGTGATTCTCCTGTCTCAGCCTCCAAGTAGCTGTGATTACAGGCATGCGCCACCACACCCGGCTAATTTTTTTGTATTTTAATAGATACAGGGTTTCATCGTGTTAACCAGGACGATCTCGATTTCCTGACCTTGTGATCCACCTGCCTAGGCCTCCCAAAGTGCGGGGATTACAGGTGTGAGCCACCATGCCCTGCCAACTCAGCACAAATTTTAAGCAGAACTTTGGCCAGGAAGGTCCCTCTCTGACCAATCCTGATACAGAATGGCTCACTAAAGACCAATCTTTCAAGCTGTGAAGCCAAAGGACTCACTTGATCCAAACCAGACTGGAAGAGAAGCTTCTGTTCCAGTCAATCTTGGAGAATGGAGATGCCCCCCTAGTCCTGCCCCTGATAGTCAAGCCTCCGTCGATACAGCCCTTGTTTGCATGTCAGGCCCTCTCTTTCTCATTCCTCCACCTCACATTCTGCCCTTCAGCCTTAATAAACTACTTGCCATTCCTGAATCACACCATTCTTTTCTCAATCTTGGCTGCTCTCTCTTGCCCTTCCTTACCTCTTGTTAGATGTTCCTGCTGCATGTTCCTCCAGCACCTGGCATATCACCTCTATCACAGCATTTTCCCCATTTACCTATTTTGAGTCCTCTATGAGCCCATAAGATCTTGGATTTTTTTTGTTTGTTTGTTTGTTTTGAGGTGGAGTTTTGCTCTTGTTGCCCAGGCTAGAGTGCAATGGCACAATCTCGGCTCACCGCAACCCACGCCTCCTGGGTTCAAGCAATTCTCCTGCCTCAGCCTCTTGAGTAGCTGGGATTTACAGGCATGCGCCACCACACCTGGCTAATTTTGTATTTTTTTTTAGTAGAGACGGGGTTTCTCCATGTTGGTCAGGCTGGTCTTGAACTCCTGACCTCAGGTGATGCGCCCACCTCAGCCTCCCAAAGTGCTGGGATTATAGGCATGAGCCACCACGCCCAACCTAAGATCTTGTTATTTTTTTTTTTTTAATTTTTAAATTTTATTTTAATGGATGAGAGGTTTCTATGTTGCCCAGGCTGGCCTCGAACACGTAGCCTTGCCTCCTCATGTGCCAGGACAGCTGGCCTGAGCCACTGCAACTCCTAGATCTTGTTATTTTTAGAGACAGCTTCTTGCTTTATCACCCTGGCTAGAGGGCAGTGGTGTGATCATGGCTCACCGCAGCCTCGAACTCTTGGACTTGAGTGGTACTCTTGCCTCTGTCTCCCGAAGTGTTGGGATTACAGGCGTGAGCCATGGTGCCCAGCCAGCCTGTAAGATCCTTAATGGAAGGGACTGTGTCTTATTCATCATTGTTTCTCCAAAGCAGAGCATAGAATGAGCACATAATTTGGAACATCATACTTACTCACTGAATGAATTCCTGCATTCAGTGCTTTAGGCAAATCTTCAAAAAATTCTTGCCTAGACTAGACCACAATAAAGTTCACACTTAACCTACTCAATGATCTAGGACCCTCTGAATCTAACCAGTTATTTTTTAAACCCCAAAATAGATCCAGGAGTCTAAGATGGGTCTGTACTCAAAGATGGGACTCTACTCAAGTCAGTTTTATGATTTTGGCAACTGTGATCTCATCGCAAAAACCTCTGGACATGGCTAAATCAATCTATTTGATACTATCTATATCAGTCACCGAAAAACAGAGAGACAGGGCAAGAACCAACCAACAAAACAAGTCCATGGAAGCCAGGAGGGTCCAGAACAAAAAGGGTATTCTCACACCAAGGGACTGATAAGAGAGAACACTACAAAGCTTACAAAATGCGGGGAGAATCGCCTATCAAACTCCCGCTGAGCCAGGATTCCTCCCTGTCCAGGTGCACTGGTGGAGCCAATCTGAAAAGAAGAAAAGAAGGACATTAAGGCAAGGCTCCTCATCTAATCTGAAAAAGGGCGGTCCCAACCAACCCAATTCTATGCATTAGATTCTTAGTTCTCAAAGGCTCAGGAGAACTTCAAGAAGATGAGGGAAAGCTTTTGGCTAGAGAGAGCTGGATGATTCTCTCTTAGTGTGTTGTAAAGAGGAGTACACAGGAGCCAGAAGACCTAAGAAATACCCCTTGGTGAACATTTAGCAAACAGGGTAGGCCAGGTATGCAACTGAAATTAAAGCCGAATTCTTGGGTCTGAGCCTCAGACTCTGGAAAGAGTGAAGTTGCTCACCACCACTGGCCCCTCTACAGGGCAGGGTGTGCAATGGAATGACTCACCCTTGCGACTCATTTACTTATTCCTCCAGCAAACAGACTCTACTTCACACAGTTCATGTGAGGCTCAAATGAAACAGCAGAAGTATACAGTGAAGTAGAAAGCCCTACCCAAATGTACATTACTAGAGGAGAGGCTGAGTCTGGCCCACATTCCTTTCCCTTGGAGAGGAGGCCAAGAGTTTGGAGCACACTGCAAACAACTTTATTCTAAAGTGGCAGCTGGGCCTTTGATTTTATGTTTATTAACCCATCAACTACCAGGTAGAACCAGAGAGTCCTGAGGTTGGTTCTGAAAGCAAAAATGATACAGGATGTGAAAACACAGCTAGATTTAGAATAGGGTTCCATGTAGTTTATGAAAAAAGAAAATGTAGAAGGTGCATTGAGTGTTAGTTCTTTCCATTCTATGGTTGACTGTGTTAAGTCCCTTCCCTACTATGTACTAATTAGCCTATAGCCCTGCTTGTATGGACATCATACATTTTAGCTTCATAAATTTATACACTTATGACTTAAGTTTTTTGAGGGCCTGGACAGTATCTTAATACTCTTGGTATTCCCCAGAGTCTGGCACATTTCAGGGGCTTCCTAAAAGTCTGTTGACCTTTACCTCAATCAGTCAAAACACTGTTAACTACTGAGTTTCTATCATATATGGGAAACAGAAATCTAAGACAGTCACTGGTCTCAAGGAATTTAAATTAAATTGGAAGGTGTTGGGTGGGAAGAGGGAAGATCTATACATAAGAAACAAACTCCTGAAGATAGTGATTAAATGTTCAAGACTGTAAGTGCTACAGAAGTTTAGATGCAGTCAATAAATGTTGATGAAAGAACGAAGAGCGGTCAGGCGAGGTGGCTCACAACCGTAATGAGGATAATGAGATCAAGAGTTCGAGACCAGCCTGGCCAACACGGTGAAACCCTGTCTCTACTAAAAATATAAAAAATTAGCTGTTGTCCCAATTACTCAGGAGGCTGAGGCAGGAGAATCGTTTGAACCTGGGAGGCAGAGGTTGCAGTGAGCTGAGATCGCACCACTGCCACTCCAGGCTGGGCAACAGAGTGAGACTCTGTCTCAAGAAAGAATAGCAAAGAGCAATCTGAATTGAAAACAGAAAACAAGGAGACACTACTCAAAGCTGGGTCTTGAGAAGGCTTCACATGTAATGGAGTGGAGGGAAAAGAGTACTTCAAACAGAACAAAGGCACAGAGGAAAGAGTAAGGACTAAGTTGGGGGAGAAGGTGTGGGAAGGAGCTTGGCCTAATTAGGATGCAGGGTCTGTATGGGCAGAGTGGGAGAGAAGGCTGGAGGCAGAGAATAGCTAGACTATTGGAGGGCTGCAGTGAGAGGCAGAATGCCATAAGCAGGAGCAATCTAAGCAAGGAAAGGAGAGAGTAACAGTGGAGACTGGGAAGGATCTGACAGTGGCAGAGAAGACACACATTGGAAAGGCAAGGACATCAGCAGGCAGCAAATGACACATTCCAGATGAAAAGAGAGAAGGAATGAAGAGGAGGGGAAGGCTATGGTACATGTCTCCCATCCATTTCAGTCACTCTAGTCCAGAACTTTAATTTGAACATACTTCCTTAGGACAATACCAAGTGTCTGGTTAACATTACCTCCCTCAGAATTTAGTAGCTACTGTGGAAATTTTCTGTAAGAGATTTTGTTTTAGAATCTATACTTTTTACATGGATACCCATCACCTTAAACACTTATCTTTTTTTTTTTTTTTTTTTGGAGACAGGTCTCACTGTCACCCAGGCTGGAGTGCAATGCCAATATAATGGCTCACTGCAGCCTCAGTCTCCCGGGCTTAAGCAGTCCTCCCATGTCAACCTCCTGAGTAGCTGGGATCACAGGGGCATACACCATGCTCGGCTAATTCTTTAAAATGGGGGGTCTCACCATATTGCCCAAGCTGGTCTCCAACTACTGGGCTCAAGCAATCCACCTGCCTCAAGCCTCCTAAAGTACTGGGATTACAGGCTTGAGCTACCACACCCTGCTCTGTCTTTTTTTTGAGACGGAGTTTCACTCTTGTTACCCAGGCCGGAGTGCAATGGCGCGATCTCGGCTCACCACAACCTCCGCCCCCTGGGTTCAGGCAATTCTCCTGCCTCAGCCTCCTGAGTAGCTGGGATTACAGGCACACGCCACCGTGCCCAGCTAATTATTTGTAATTTTTAGTAGAGACGGGGTTTCACCATGTTGACCAGGATGGTCTCGATCTGCCAACCTCGTGATCCACCCACCTCGGCCTCCCAAAGTGCTGGGATTACAGGCTTGAGCCACTGCACCCGGCCCACCCTGCCCTGTCTTTACTTTATGATGGAAATGTTCAAATGCTTCTCATCTGGCTATTTTGAAATATACATTAGATTACTGTTAACTATAGTCACCCTACTGAACTATCGAACACTAGGTCTTATTCCTTCTAGCTGTATTTTTTTTTTTTGAGAAGAAATCTCACTCTATCCCCTAGGCTGGAGTGCAGTGGTGCGATTTCAGCTCACTGCAACCTCTGCTTCCTGGGTTCAAGTGATTCTCCTGACTCAGCCTCCCAAGTAGCGGGGATTACAAGCGCCTGCCACCATGTCCAGCTAATTTTTGTATTTATAGTAGAGATGGAGTTTCTCCACGTTGGCCAGGTTGGTCTCGAACTCCTGACCTTAGGTGATCTGCCTGCCTTGGCCTCCCAAGGTGCTGGATTACAGGCATGAGCCACTGCGCCCAGCCCTAACTGTATTTTTCTATCTATTAACCAACCTTTCTTCATTCCCCTCCCATCCCCACCACAAGAGATTTTTTTTTTTTTTTTTTGAGACGGAGTTTTGCTCTTGTTACCCAGGCTGGAGTGCAATGGCGCGATCTCGGCTCACCGCAACCTCCGCCTCCTGGGCTCAGGCAATTCTCTTGCCTCAGCCTCCCGAGTAGCTGGGATTACAGGCACGTGCCCAGCTAATTTTTTGTATTTTAAGTAGAGACGGGGTTTCACCATGTTGACCAGGATGGTCTCGATCTCTTGACCTTGTGATCCACCCACCTCGGCCTCCCAAAGTGCTGGGATTACAGGCGTGAGCCACCGCGTCCGGCCACCACAAGAGATTTTAAGGGAAGGCAGATCCAAATTCCATCGAGCTAAGAGTTTGGGCAACTCACCACAACGGGCCCATCCTCTTGGGCCAGGTAAGTAATTGTTGCTGAGGTAAAGTTGAAATAACCAGCCTTGAGAGGGCGCAGGACCACGGTGTGGGAGACATTGCTAGCACTGGCCAAAGAGTTAAGGAAGGGAAAGAGATGAAGCTAAGATTGTAGCAGTCTTTCAACCTGTGGACTAAACCATTCACAAAACAGTTGCCAGTAAGTGCTGATCTCATGCAGGAATGAAAAAACATAGGCTTCTTTTTAAAATGTACTTTTTTTAATATTAAAAAGAGAGAGAGAGATGGGGTCTCACTTTGTTGCCCAGGCTGGTCTCAAATTCTTGGGTTCAAGTGATCCTCCTGCCTTGGCCTCCGAAAGTGCTGGGATTACAGGCATGAGCCACCATACCTGGCCTAAGCTTCTTTTTTTTAAGTTTGAAGTTTATGGTATTACAGGTTGTCTTTCCAGGTAAATTTTAAGGGGCCTGTGTTATATTTGGTGTCATGGTTTTTGAAGTAAACTTCCAAAGCAATATATGTTATGAATAAAAAATTATAGTCATGGGCCAGGATCACAAGGTTAGGCATTCAAGAACAGCCTGGCCAATATGGTGAAAGCCCGTCTCTACTATATACAAAATTTAGCCGGGTGTGGTGGCATGCAACTGTAGTCCTAGCTACTCGGGAGGCAGAGGCAGAATGACTTGAACACGGGAAGCAGAGGTTGCAGTGAGCCGAGACTGCACCACTGCACTCCAGCCTGGGTGACAGAGCAAGATTCTGTCTTTAAAAAAAAAAAAAATATATATATATAGTCATTTAATCAGCACTTCTTTTTGGTTGTCAGGTCGGACATGGTGGCTCACACCTGTAATCCCAGCACTTTGGGAGGCTGAGGCAGGCAGATCACGAGGTCAAGAGATCGAGACTATCCTGGCCAACATGGTGAAACCCCATCTCTACTAAAAATACAAAAATTAGCTGGGCATGGTGGTGTGTGCCCATAATCCCAGCTACTTGGGAGGCTGAGGCAGGAGAATTGTTTGAACCCGGGAGGCAGAAGATTCAGTGAGCTGAGATCGTGCCACTGCACTCCAGCCTGGTGACAGAGCAAGACTCCGTCTCAAACAAACAAACAAACAAACAAATACAAAGACCATTATTTATCCTCATCAAGAAACCCAAATATATATTTATTTATTTATTGACACAATTTGGATCTGTGTCCCTGCCCAAATCTCATGTCAAACTGTAATCCCCTGTGTTGGAGGAGGGGCCTGGTAGGAGGTGACTGGATCACGGGGGCAGATTTCTCCCTTGCTGTTCTCATGATGTGAGTTCTCACAAGATCTGGTTGTTTAAAAGTGTGTAGCACCTCCCCGTTTACTCTTTTCCTCCTGCTTCAGACACTAAGATGTGCCTGTTTCCCCTTTGCCTTCTGCCATTGTAAGTTTCCTGAGGCCTCCCCAGCCATGCTTGCTGTACAGCCTGTAGAACCGTGAGCCAATTAAACCTCTTTTCTTTAAAATTACCCAGTCCCTTATAGTTAATAATACTGATACCTCTGATTAAAAAAAAAAAAAAATTACCCAGTCCCAGGTTGTTCTTTATGGCAACCTGAGAATGAACTAATACAATTATTATTTGTTTAAGACTAGGTCTTGGCCGGGTGCGGTGGCTCAAGCCTGTAATCCCAGCACTTTGGGAGGCCGAGGTGGGTGGATCACAAGGTCAAGAGATCGAGACCATCCCCGTCTCTACTAAAAATACAAAAAATTAGCTGGGCATGGTGGCGTGTGCCCGTAATCCCAGCTACTCAGAGGCTGAGGCAGGAGAATTGCCTGAATCCAGGAGGCGGAGGTTGCAGTGAGCCAAGATCACACCATTGCACTCCAGCCTGGGTAACAAGAGCGAAACTCCGTCTCAAAAAAAAAAAAGACTAGGTCTCACTTTGTCACCAAGTCTGGAGTACAGCAACACTATCATAACTCACTGCAGCCTTGAACGCCAAAGCCCAAGCAGTCCTCTCACCTATACCTCCCAAGTAGCTGGGACTATAGGCGTGTGACATCACACCTGGCTTAAATTCCCAAGGAGAAAAATACCATCTAATTCAATATTCAGGAAATAATTGGGAGATGAGAATAAGAGGCTCATTGAATAAGAGACTTTCATGCTAGCATCCCACTGAATTTCTTTTTCTTTTTTTTTTTTTAGACAGAGTCTTCTTCTGTCACCCAGGCTAGAGTGCAATGGCACGATCTCAGCTCACTGCAACCTCTGCCGGGTTCAAGTGATTCTCCTGCCTCAGCCTCCAGAGTAGCTGGATTATAGGTGCCCGCCACCTTGCCTGGCTAAATTTTATATTTTTAGTAGATGGTTTTACCATCTTGGCCAGAGTGGTCTTGAACTCCTGACTTTGTGATCCACCTGCCTAAGCCTCCCTAAGTGCTGGGGTTACAGGTATGAGCCACTGTGCCTGCCCTAAATTTCTTTTAATTAAGTGTCGATATCTTCCCAATAAGGTATGTTTCGGGGTCTTTTTATTTTTTTGAGATGGATTCGAAGTGTTTGAATCTGCATCCTGGGTTCAAGTGATTCTCTGGCCTCAGCCTCCCAAGTAGCTAGAACTATATATAGGCATGCGCCACCATGCCAGCTAATTTTTGTAATTTTAGTAGAGATGGAGTTTCACCATGGTGGCCAGGATGGTCTCAACCACTTGACCTCATGATCCGCCCACCTCAGCCTTCCAAGTGCTGGGATTACAGGTCTGAGCCACCATGTCCAGCCTGTTTCAGGGTCTTATAATCCGAACCTCAGGATCCTCCTTCTTCAGCTCTACTCTAAATCATGCTCACACAATTTACACCAACCTCTCTTGCTCCATCTTATCCAGAGAGATGATGCGAAGACAGCCACACACATCCAGCCCATTTGTAGTACCCTTGATGCTTTGTAGGCAAGGCTCTCCCTGCTCCCCAACCCTTCATCACCCAGTGCCAAGAGGATACGGGGCAATCCGGTCCCATTTGACACTGAGCATTCCAGACACAATGCCAAAGTCTTCCGGAGGGAAGGAATCATCAGATAGTTCCACATCTAAGGCAGCACTAGAAAATGAAGGAAACAAAAAGGGTTAGTAAGTAATGGACATAAAATTAAAGCAATAGGCTGGGCATAGAGGCTCACACCTGTAATTCTAGCATTTTGGGAGCCAAGGTGGGCAGATCTGTTGAAGTCAGGAGTTCGAAAACAGCCTGGCCAACGCGGTGAAACCCTGTCTCTACTAAAAAATACAAAAATTAGCCAGGCGTGGTAGCACATGCCTGTAATCCCAGCTACTTGGGAGGCTGAGGCAGGAGGATCACTTGACCTGGAAGGCAGAGGTTGCAGTGAGCCAAGACTGCGCCATTGCACTCCCTCCTGGATGACAGAGCCTCCATCTAAAAAATAATAATAATAATAAAATTAAAGCAATAAACAATCAAACCTGCCTGCTTCTCAAAAAAAATCAGAACTGCAAAAGAGAGATATGAGTCATATAGTAACTTGGTTCTGTTTCACTGAAGAATCCATGTCAAGGACTGGATTCTATTGCTCAGAAGCACCAAAATAATCAAGTATTCAGGAGGCAATGGGTCCAAGTTCATCCTTGCCTTAATTTCTCTTTATGAACATGTCTGTGTGTGGAGGAAGGGAGAAGAACACAGTGAATACAGAGGAGAAAAAGGGAATAAAATGAAAGAAAGTCAACAAAAATGCTCTAGGCTAATGAAAGAAGGAAGATGACACAGTTTTTGTTTTTTTAGAGACGAAGTCTCACTCTGTCACCCAGGCTGGAATGCAATGGCATAGTCTTGGCTCACTGCAACCTCCTCCTCCCGGGTACAAGCAATTCCCCAGCCTCAGTCTCCTGAGTAGCTAGGGCTACCAGAACGTGCCAGCATACCCGGCTAATGTTTGTATTTTTAGTACAGACAGGGTTTCACCTTGTTGGCCAGGCTGGTCTCGAACTCCTGACCTGCCTCAGCCTCCCAAAGTGCTGGGATTACAGGTGTGAGCCACTGCACCCAGCCTTTATTATTAATTTTTTTGAGACAGAGTCTTGGTCTTGTCACCCAGGCTGGAGTGCAGTGGCACGATCTTGGCTCACTGCAATCTCTGCCTTCTGGGTTCAAGCAATTCTCTTGCCTCAGCCTCCCAAGTAGTTGGGATTACAGGCACCCGCCACCTTGCCCTGCTAATTTTTGTATTTTTAGTAGAGACGGTGTTTCACCATGCTGGCCAGGCTGGTCTCGAACTCCTGACCTCTGGTTATCCTCCTGCCTCAGCCTCCCCAAGTGGTGGGATTACAGGTGTGAACCACCATGCCCAGCAGGAAGACTACACTTTAAACCCCTAAGGAAACACGGAATCGTGTATTTTCTGTGCCTTTATCTTCCTCTCTGTTTCTCCACAATTCATGTTACTTTCGTACTTTAAAATTCTTCCAATCCAAGACGTGAAAGATGGTTTCTTGTAGCTTAGGTAAGAATGTCCTCCTTTCCAAAAGTAGGTCCCGAAGTATATTCATTCACTCAATATATCTGATGCGGGAAGTGTCCCAAAGGGAAATCACTACTCATCAATATGTTCCCTATTCCCTTCTGAGACCTAAGTATCCAGAAATAGGCTTAATCTGTAACTCCAGGGCCTCCTTACCTTGAGCCGACATTGTAAATGTTGTACTGCAAGGTTAGGTCTCGTCCCTCCACGGCGTATCTGTTCAGCAGTGACTTGGAAGCCAAAAGCCTGGCTCCTTCCTCTGCTTGAGTGACAGCAAATAGAGCCAACACCACAAATGCTAGCAGCCTCATCTTTAGAGAAAAAAGTAAAGTGAGTTATCAAACCAAGTATATAAAAGTCATCAAAATCCTCCTGACAGCGCTCCCGTAGAAAGCTCCTTCGATGCTACCAGAGCAGCAGCAGCCCCTTCCACAGAGTGGTCCATAAGCCACCCGCGCAGACCCGTTCTCCAGACTCTCCTACCATCTTTACCCTGCAGCCCTCGAAAAACCGGTCCAAGCACCAGTACATCTACTGCCCTCTTCCTGTCAGCCCCGGGATGCCCAATGGCTGGTGTACAGAATTGGGCTTTCCTTGGGATGCCTGATTTCGTGTCCAGAATAGGGCTTTTCTTGGGGTGCCTAATTTCGGCCGATCTTGGACCTGCAGGAGCCTGTAGCTTTCCCTCACACAGGAGTGTCCACAGCTGCAGTCTTCCCTCTGGTCCTCTCTTCCTTGGCTATAGGTCCACTGGGATCCCACGGCGGACTCGTGGGGTCCTCCTCACATCCTTGTACCCGACTCTCCAGTCCATCCTCTGACATCCCATTCGTCCTCGCCCGTCACATCCCTTTCTGGGTCCCTCGGGCAGGGGGGATCAGTCAGCTCTGCTCCCCTCCCGCTTGTCAAGGTTACATGTCCTCCACCCAGCGCGTCCTCTGCTCTTCCCGCCCTCCGAGCTAACCCCCAGCCACGGAATGATTCGAGGACACGAGGTGCTCGCCTCTCCCGCTCCGACTCCCTAAGCCTCCGGACTCACCATGGGCATAAGCAATGCTTTTCCGGCGCCACAAAAACCGGAAAAGAGCGTCAGCATCGGAAAGACCGGAAATAAGCCTGGTTGGAAATCCGCGGTGTTCCGCCCAAGCCTTGTGGGAGTTGTAGTTCTCGGAGAGGCGCTTTCCCTTTGTAGTGCCCTCCTTCCTGAAGAGGCTGTGAGCGCTCCTGAGAGGTTTTGTGCGTTCTCCACGCTTGTCTTGTTCGGGCCTCTTTGGGGGGCTTTTCGAGCTGATTTTTCACTGCTTATATGTGACCCGCACCTGATTGGGTGCTTCGAGAAACTAGCAAACCTAGAAATTTGGATCATATATGTAAAATGTCAACTAGTACTGCCGAAGCAGGAATTAGAGAAAAGCTATTCCAACCAGTATGTTTTCTATTCTCAGATGAGACACGTAGACATTTCCTACATCCAGCAGGTCACCGAGTCTTGAGCTTTATTTAGAAGCCCTTTGAAGTGCCAGAAAAGCAGATCTTTTGTTCTCCGTTCCTACTATAACTACTTTAGTTCTTGCTGACTACTTAAGTGGATTTTACTCTAGTAGCCTTTAGGTCTTACCTCTTTCCCTGCACTTTTTACTTTTATTTTATTTTTGAGACAGGGTCTTGCTCTGTACAGGCTCGAGTGCAGTGGCGCAATCTCGGTTCACTGCAACCGCCGCCTCTCGGGTTCAGGCGATTCTCCTGCCTCAGCCTCCCCAGTAGCTGGGATTACAGGCGCGTGCCACCACGCCTGGCTAATTTCTTGTACTTTTAGTAGAGATGGGGTTTCACCACGTTGTCCAGGCTGGTCTTCCACTCCTGACCTCAGGTGATCACCAGGCTCAGCCTTCCAAAATGCTGGGATTACAGGCTTGAGCCACCACGCCCCGCCTCTCTGCACTTTTTAATCAGCGGCCGGATAAACTTCTCAAAACAGCATTTTGAACAGTAGACCTTAGGTTCAGAGAATGAACTGTGAAGTTAGGCAGTCATGAATTCAATCCCAGATCTGTTACTTACCGGTTAGGTAACCTTGAACAGGCATTGGTTACCACATCTCTAAAACAAGATAAGTATAGCACTCACAAAAGATTAGAGTATCAAATAAGATGATGTATGTAAAACTCTAAGTACAGTACTCAGCACATGTATGTGCTCAGTAAATGGTAACTATCAATATTGCTGGTTGGTTTTTGGGGTTTTTTGAGATGAAGTCTCGCACTGTCACCCAGGCTGGAAGGCAGTGGCTTGATCTCGGCTCACTGCAACCTCTGCCTCCCGGGTTCAAGCAATTCCCCTACTTCAGCCTCCCAAGTATCTGGGACTACAGGCGCGTGCCACCACACCCAGCTAATTTTTGGTATTTTAGTAGAGACTGGGTTTCACCTTGTTAGCCAGGATGATCTTGACCTCCTGACCTTGTGATCTGCCCTCCTCAGCCTCCCAAAGTCCTGGGGTTACAGGCATGAGCCACCATGCCTGGCCACCTGGGTAATTTTTTATTATTTTATTTTATTTGAGAGACGGGGTTTTGCCATGTTGCCCAGGCTGGTCTCTACCTCCTGGGCTCAAGTGATCCACCCGCCTCAGCCTCCCAAAGTGTTGAGAATACAGACATGAACCACCTTATTTTGCTCAAATACTGCTTTCTAGAGCCATTTCTCCAAGACCAGAAAGATGGAATGTGTGGGTATTCTTGTTTCTCAGACTCTGCTACACCCAAAAGGAATATATCTTCAGCACACACTGTCCAAACGCCTTACTAAGTAGCCACTTCTGGATCCAGAAGAGAAATGTCTTTATCCTTGGGTTTCCCACTTATACACTGACCCTTTTCCTCCTCTATTTCATCCAAGTCACTTGTTGTTTCTTTCTTTCCTTCTTGTCTTTCTTTCTTTCTTGACAGAGTCTTGCTCTGTCACTCAGGCTGGAGTGCAGTAAGTAGCATGATCTCAGCTCACTGCAATCTCCTACCCCCGAGTTTAAGCAATTCTCCTGCTTCAGCTTCCAGAGTAACTGGGATTACAGGCATGTGCTACCACACCTAGCTAATTTCTATATTTTTAGTAAAGACAGGGTTTCACTATGTTGGCCAGGCTGATCTTGAACTCCTGACATCAGGTGATCCACCTGTCTTGGCCTCCCAAAGTGCTGGGATTATAGGTGTGAGCCACTGCTCCCAGCCCACTTGTTCTTTCATTTGTACATTTAGCATTCATTTGTTGAGCAACTATTATGCATCAAGTACTGCGATAGTCACTGTAAGAGATACAGCTGGGCGCGGTGGCTCACCCCTGTAATCCTAGCACTTTGGGAGGCCGAGGTGGGTGGATCACCTGAGGTCAGGAGTTCAAGACCAGCCTGGCCATCATGGTGAAACCCCATCTTTAAAAAAAAAAAAAAAGATACAAAATAGGATGTGGTGTCTGCCTTCAAGGAGGATGACCTATAGTCCTAACCATAATGAAAGGCAAATGAGATGTCAAACGCTCCTTAAAAAAACAAAAAAAAAGTCAGGCAAGGTGATTCATGTCTGCAATCCCAGCACCTTGGAAGGCAGGATTGCTTAAAGCTAGAAAGTTCGAGACCAACCTTGGTGACAAAGCAAGACCTGTCTCTACCAAAAAAAAAAATTTTTTTTTTTGAGTCAGTCTAAAAAAAAAATGCTGGAGTGCATTGGTGTGATCTTGGCTCACTGCAACCTCTGCCTCCCAGGTTCAAGCAATTCTCCTGCCTCAGCCTCCGGAGTAGCTGAGACTATAGGTGCTTGCCACCACACCTGGTTAATTTTTGTATTTTTAGTAGACAGGGTTTTGCCATGTTGGCCAGGGTGGTCTTGAACTCCTGACCTCATGAACTGCCCACCTTGGCCTCCCTAAGTGCTAGGATTAAAGGTGTGAGTCACCTTGCCTGGCCAAAAAAATTTTTTAAGTAGCCAGATATGGTGCTGCATGCCTGTAATCCCAGTTTACTCAAGAGGCTGAGGTGGGAGGACTGCTTGAGCCCAGGAGTTTGAAGCTGCAGTGAGCTATGATTGCACCATTGCACTCTAGCCTGGGTGACAGAGCAAGAACTGTCTCTAAACAAAACACATGGGCCAGGCTGGGTGGCTCATGCCTATAATCCCCGCACTTTGGGAGGCCCAGGACAGATCACCTGAGGCTAGGAGTTCAAAACCAGCGTGACCAACATGTAGAAACCTCGTCTCTACTAAAAATACAAAATTAGCCAGACATGGTGGCACATGCCTGTAATCCCAGCTACTTGGGAGGCTGAGGCAGGAGAATCACTTGAACCTGGGAGGTGGAGGTTGTGGTGAGCCAAGATCAAGCCATTGCACTTTAGCCTGGGCAACAAAGCAAAACTCCATCTCAAAAAACAACAACGCACACACGCACGCATGCACACACATACACACAGACAAATTCAGTAGCTTCTCATTGTCAACGACATTAAATCCAATTCCTTTATCTAGTAGTTAAGACCCTTCACTGTGGTCTCTAGCACCCTCTGCTTCAGCCGAATAGCTCCCTCTTGCACACTTTCTCACCTTCAGACCTTTTATTAGAGCAAGTTATTGAAGTTCAAAAAAATCTTTATTGATTACAGACTATTGGAAGCCCTATGCCAGTTTCTGGATACAGGAAGATGTAAGACACACTGCTTGGCTTAGAAGAGTTTATAATCTGCTGGCATAGACAGATGAACAGAACAGGACTTGGACACTGTCCGAAGTGCCAGAGGTTAGCATGTGATTTCCTACCCTGTGGTTTTTTTTCTTTCTTTTAATTATGTCTTTTTGAGAAACAAGAGTTCATTTTAATTATAGTGTCCTCTTAAAAAGCAGTAAATACTCACTGCCTCAGAAACAGTGCCTCTTGATGCTCTGGCTAGTACATGAGGACTTTGGACACCTGGGAAGGAAACAGACTCTGAGTTAAGACAAAATGTGACACTTACCCCCGATACAGTCGATGGGAAACATCCGCTAATGTGACCTATGTCAAAGTGAGGCAGTTAAGAAAATCTCTTGGATTTAACATAGATTGATTTTTTTCTTTTTTTCTCCAGAACTAGACAGAACTTGGGAAAATGCAGTGATAACAGATCATTTCACCCCTGGAACTCTCACGTATCTCACTGTGGATCAGAAAGTCTCAGACAAGGGATGGTCTGGTGAAGACACATCATCTCTGTTCAATCTCCCTACTGGAATTCATTCTGACTAAAGGAGAGATTTTGAGTCAATTGCTAAAGGAAGTGTTTCTGTTAAAAGAGCTCCAGAAGAATACCAATGTCCTGTTATCCTCAAGGGGACTCCAAACCAAGAGACTGAGTAGGACTTTGTGAGACGACCAGGAATTGTATGTCAGGATTAGAGGCGTACAGAGCTGGTGAGAGGCAACCTGTGGTGTCAATTGTGCCCCTAGGATGGTATCACAGGTTTTATGCCCTGTTTCCTTTCTTTTTCTTTTTTTGAGACCGAGTTTCACTCTTGTTACCTACACTGGAGTGCAATGACGCGATCTCGGCTCACTGCAACCTCTGCCTCCTGGGTTCAGGCAATTCTCCTGACTCAGTCTCCCAAGTAGCTGGGATTACAGGCACGCACCACCATGCCCAGCTAATTTTTAGTATTTTTAGTAGAGATGGGGTTTCACCATGTTGCCCAGGATGGTCTCAATCTCTTGACCTCGTGATCCACCCGCCTTGGCCTCCCAAAGTGCTGGGATTACAGGCGTGAGCCACCGCGCCCAGCCTACCATATACTTTAAATAATCTCTGGGCCAGGTGCAATGGCTTGTGTTTATAATCCCAGCTCTTTGGGAGGCCAAGGCAGGAGGATTATTTGAGACCAGGAGTTTGAGACCAGCCTGGGCAACATAGACTCTGTCTCTGTTTTTTTTTTTAAAAATGGGGTTTCACCATGTTGTTCAGGCTGGTCTTGAACTCCCAACCTCA